GCCACGCGCCCTTGCCGGGCCCGTCATCTCAGTGGTGACCTCCCCCGCCCATCAAGTGCCCCCGCCGCCTCTTCCCCCGCGGTCCACAATCGCAGGAAGAGGAGATCTCTGAAGGCGGAGGCGAGGGCGGAACAGACGGGCGCGCGCGGCGCTGCGCGACCTCAAGCGAACAAGCGAGGAACCCGCGGCGAATGCGCGGGAACAAACGGAATCAATTAGCTCGCCGCTTTTCACCTCCTCGCCTCGCGCGGGGCGAGCTGCTCCCTCCCCTCCTCTTCCTCCGCCATCCAATTCAACCACTTCCTCGAAGATGGTGGCTGCGAGAGTAAGCTAATACTCGGAACTGAGGAGCGGCGGAGATTCGAATTAAAGCGATTTTTCGGAGATCTGGTAACGTCTATTCAGTCCCAAAAGAAGAAGAAAAAAACAGAAAACAAAAAATAAATATCTAATTTCACCAATATTTTATTGTCATTTAGTCAGTGCGTTTGTGATATAAATGGCGAAATATCATCTGTGACAAACTTTTGGAAGCAGTTTTTTTTAAGATATGTGGTTGGATCTGCCTTATAATTTTTTTTACTATGAATGAAGGTCCTTGTTTTAGAAAATTACCTTCTACGCCTCTCGACAATATATTTTACATTTCCTTTAACATATCTTAATGTCGTGCTTTCTTACGGTATTCTTATAACATGAAAAAATATATTTAATTTGTATAGTTGAATAATTTGCTGGAAATATTGGTAGGGGATATTTTATGTCAAAAATCACAATAACTGAACAAAATTACTTTGGTAATCACAGATTATGAATAAACCAGCGTTAAACTCATTAATTTGTGACAACACATGTTTTTTGGAATTAAATACATGAGGAGTTGAACTAAGCGATTCGGATAACCACGAACAGCCAGAACAGAAAAGAAGACAATGCCAGAATTTTCATTTTTCGAAATACACGAGCAGATGAGCGAAGGAAGTGGGCTAACCACATTGTAGAGCCGCTGTCCAAAAGGTAAAACCGGGAGGACCACGGAAGATGGTTCCGGTGCGACCACTTGCGCCCGAAAGCGGCGAGCGCCCCGCTGCCAAGGGAGAGCCTGGGAGCAGAGGCACCCCCCGCGCCGCGCCGCGCCGCGCCACCCAACAGGTTAGGTTCGAGTGCACTCGCCGCTTTCCCGCGTGGCTCGTTACACCCAGCCCGACGGATGACAGGACAAAAACAATCGTTTCGGGGCACGAAACAGGTGAAATTTTGTGGGTTGGAAAGACGAGGTTCATGTACTTTCTGCTGGTTCACTGAATTCGAGTGGAGTTACAATGTTATTTCTTGGTTGCACTGACAGTAGGAAAAGAAATGCTTCAGTACTTTTCAACAGAAAAAATATGAGATATGTAAGAAATTCAAAGTAGTTTCTTGTAAATATAATACTGTTATTTCTTATTATTCATAGATTCGTTTTTAGACTGAGATGAAGCATTTTTTCAATATTGTCACGCTAACGCCGAGTCAGTGTATATATTAAAATACTGTAAATTTTATACTAGTAGGGGTTAACTTTACTTTGGACATTAAAGTTGATGAAACAGAGAAAATTAACGACGTAGCACCCTGCATTTGTTTCCCATTGATCTTATTGCTACCAACAATAATTAAATGTTTAATAGGAGGCTCACCCTCGACTCGATACGAAGAGACTTTCCTGGCGCACTGTATGTTGAAGCAAGCCTACAATTTGACTGAAGGGAACCGTTAGATCTAGTATTTACCCCTACATTACAAAAGTGTTGGGCGGGTGCGATCAGACGCTTTCGCCGGACGCGAAAGCCGCCATCGCCGCTTGGCGAAACCGGCTGGTGCTAATTGGGAGGCGCCCAGACCAGCTCTTCGCACCTGCCCCACCCTCTAGCAGCGCTTCCACCCAGCGGCGGATGCTGCCAGACATCTCCCGCGCCGCGAATTAACGAGCTCCAGTGGTAATTACTCGGTCAGCAGTGTACACATGTGTATCTCCTTCCCGGATGTGTGCGATGGGTAGCCTCTTGTCCGCCTTAATGGGCCCTAAACTGAAATAAGCCGCTCTCGCGAGCCTGACTTGTGCCGGTTGTAAATCTCTGGACGCCACCGATCATTGTTCCTCATATGTGCGAAAATGGAAGCAATTAGAAAATATAGCCGATTTACAAGTTGGGCAAGGCAGACTCCTCACGTGGGTTCCCGTATGTGATATTTTAAGCGTAGAGGAAGCCAACTACATGCAATAACGTACTACAATATCCGACTATAGTGCTTCTACTGGGTTACTATCGTATCAAATGATGAATATAACACTTTAATGCATTAGTTATACCCCATGACAGAGTTGATACTTGAGAAAATGGTTCCGTGTATTTATTTCAACCATGCCTATGTCTGTATAAGAAATGGATTAGCGAAAATATATTCTTAAAATTTCTGAAGAATATATTACGATACAGTTTCAAGGAGTGATTTTGTTGCGAATACGGGAACGTGCAATGTTCTCACATTCACAGCAGAAAGGGAAAATTTTAGGTCACTATCGTTTAGCTCTAATCCGTTATCAGAGCCCAGAGTAGGTTGATGATGCATACGTGACACACGTGGTGACAAAGCAACTCGGCGTTGCATCAAAGCCATTTCAAAATCGTAAATCTGGTTCATAGTTTGTTCCACTTTTGCCTTGCTTCTATTCTTGTTGTTTAGACCTGATATTTTCCTATATACCTTAAAATTGATGGTTTTCTGTAAGGAAGAATTTCTTCAGAAAATGACTCTCTAAAGAGTCATGATCAGATTTGCGCGTGAAATTATCTACGATACAGAACAAAATAAGTCCAAAAAATATTATATATTATATATTATATTTATATTAAAATGTATTTTAAATTATGATTGGCAACCGAAGTTCGCACATTCACCTTGTTCATGTTTTGTACACCCAACTAGCAATAAAGATTTCTTGTGAACTCCAACATATGAAGCTGTTGTAAATTATTTCGTGCGACACCACAACATGAGAAAACAAGCGCTACTAACTCAGGCGAATGAAAAGCTGCGCGGGAGGTCGCGACTGCCCCACAGTTTCTCATCAGGGCGCAGACGCCCCTCGTGCTCACTGCCCCTTTTGGCAGCTTGAAGGCTGTGTGTTTACGAGGCTGTAGATTGCCAATTGCAACGTAGCACGCGACATGTCAACGGGAGGTTACGTGATGAAGGGCAGAGTTCATATTTGAAATAGTTTTGTTTGGATATTACTACTCGGCTCTTTGGCTGTACTTCAACTATTCAGAACTTTTATAAGAGTATAACTAAAATAAATTATTGTATATTAAATTAAAATCCATTTTCAGTATACAACGGAGACTACTATTTGTTGCTTATTTGCTCTGTCAAGTACGTTACATTTTTTTGACATTATCAGCATTTATATTTCAACAAATAATTATAATGTATTATTTGGATAATATGATACAAGATATATTGGGAAAATACAAAACTAAATAAATAAAGTCGTAGATAGAGCACTTTAAAAGTTAGAATTTCAAATACGTTAATGACAAAATACAGAAAATTTAAAGTGTCATTTCAAACAAACGAAGTTACGTATTTTCGACAATACTAATATTGACTAGATTCTGAAATGAAATATAATATTTTTGAGATGTTTATGCCTTTAGAGACTTATTACAAAGCTCGCAGTGTTCACCTGAAATTCACTTCACCAGTTACTTCAGTCGCGTGGAAAATCTTTTCTCCAACGAGCGTCGGTCGGCGTAAAGAACATTCAAGAAGCGTTCGCCTCAAACATACATTTATTCAGGAGATAACGCGTGGGGGCAAGGCGGGGGAGCGAAGATGTCAGATGCGGAGATAGGCGCAAAGCAGGACATCGCGATTCGCCCGCGAATGCATTTTAATGCGGCGGCGCCCACGCGCGGCGACGCGAGCGCCACGCCCGCCCCTGACGGCGCACCGGTGGAAACATCCACTCGGAGGAGCAGGGTCGCTTGGCGCTGTTGCTGCATTCCCTCGGCATAGCAAGGTCTTCTGCGCTTGCCTTACTCTTGAAAGCGTGAAAATTTTCTCGCGTTCGTGTCACGATTATGGAAGTAGGTTTTAAACATTCCGACGCGCATTGCAGGTGTCGTTTCGTAGCATCTCATTCATGACTTCACTCAGAGTTGTCCTACATGTGCATTTAAGAAAAGCCGATTTGTCTTACGTGTTTACATCTGTTCAGAGAATAAGTTATTTGAACTCTTTTCCTAAAAATGATAGCTTCAAATTATTAATTTAATACAGTGATCAATTAATTTCTTCACGCTATATTCTTTGTGTTTATTTTATAGCGCTTTAGACGATATTTGATTAACTTTTTGTGATTCCTTCCCCCATTTTACAGTTCCCTAATAAAAAACATTTGTTCTTGTGAACACTTTGTTCAAAATTTAACATTGCTTTAATAGAAATTCTATTATTACATTTATTAACATTATGTTACTACTATACTAAGCCAATCAGAGAGACCTCTCCGCCAATCACGGCGCCCACCGAGAGCCCAGGCAGGATAGTATAAATCACCGGGCGCGAAGCGCCGCAGTGTCACTGCCCTAAGGAAGCCTGCGACATGTCAGGCGAAACGTCGGCACCTCAGCCAACGACGCGGAGTCTCCCGGATTGCGGAGAATTTATTATGTTACTACTGTTATTACATGACATTCAATGATAACGACAAGGCATGGATCCAAAACGTTGTGAAAGTTTAATAATCTGTCAAAGTGAAATTATTGAACTAAATCATGTGAACTGAACCAACAAAATGTTTCTCATGCACGCGCTGTGTTACAGTCATCGCATTTAAGCTAAAGATCCATTCAATGATTTGAGGTTCGTTAGTTTCTCAAACAATTGCCATCAATAATCGGATCCACCCTCGTAACGTGGGATGGCAAAGTGCGAAAGGGAGCGTGACTCACCGGAAGCCGTCGAAGCCGTCGTCGGAGCCGTTGACGGTGAGCACCGGGGCGCGCGCGTAGGCCTTCGCCACGCGCCGGTTGCGCTCCAGCACGATCACCTTCGCCCAGATCTCGTCGTCGATCTGCGTCCATTTGTCCAGCACTTCCTGGATGTGATCCTGCGCACACAAACACACATTCTATTAGTACACATCCTCTTCCAAGCAGGAATTTGAAAAAAAAATGAAAATATGGTGAAATAAAAATGAAGGTCTGGAGACAGTGTGAGGAAAGAACGAAAATAAAATGAAGGAATTTGAAAAAATAAATGTATGTTGTGGTAAAAATCAAGGACTTATGCAGTAAGGTAAATCATAATGAAAATAAATACTTATTTTAGCCGATATCTTTCATTTCAAGCGCCATACACTGTGTTTGGGCATCATTTAGTGTGGAAATTACGATCGGAACGGAATTAGCGACTGAAACCTAATAGTTTAAGCAACAAATAGAAATTTTTAGACGAATTTCATATTTAAGGCCCGAGGAACTCTGCAACAGTCGACAAGCAATTAGTAAAATATTGTGATAAAGGAATTTACCATTTTCGTTCAAACAGAAAATAGGATATATGAATGAGTTCAAATGAAATTGAACTTATTAATTGAACTAATGAAAAACTTATTAATTGTAAATTTAAACGGAACTGTAAATTAAACACGACAAACATTATGTCTCCCAAATATTTTTGAAGCTCGAACATGATCAAATTCTACCAAAAAGAAAATGAATCGTACAATAATAAAATGACAATTTCAAAAACGACAATTGTGTCACATGTTGACAGTCAATTTGAGAATTGTGTGGCAATTAAGTGACAATTACAAAAAAGGTCAACTGTTGCGATAAACCAACCCGAATCGAAATCATTAGAAGTACACCCTTTTATCATTTACGACACTAACTCAATTTTCTCTCTCACTCCACACGTACGAGAAGGATGGGACTGATGAGTAATAATATCGAGAGCGCGATGCAAAGCGGTGCGGGAGAAAGCGCCGCGTCTTCCACGCCCCATCGCCGTCCCCCGTCCCGCCCCCACTCGTCCGCCCCGTCCGGGGAGTCGATGACCGCCAGCGCCGCTTCCGCTGCCTCGGGCGCCCATGGCCGAAGCCCCAACGCGGCGTGCGGGGGTGGAGTGCGAGGGGTGGAGCGCGTTTACGAAGTAGTGTTTCCGCGTTAAATCGCGTCTACGAAGAGTTCGAAAGATAGCGAAAATTAGTTTCAATATAAGCGTTTTTGATGAAAAACAATTATGAATACTAGTTGTATCCGGGTGAACATTGTGAATGTAGTATTCGTTCATACACTAATTCGATCATTCAAAGGAGGAAATAGCTTCATAATGTGTCCTAACTTCGAACGGTCTGCCACAAAACTGTGCTGTACAGCATTATACTTCCGGAATTGATTGCAAGTAAAAATGTTAATCTTGCTAAGCGCTGATATAGAAAATCAAATAATTAGTTTAATTGTACGCTCGTATTTTATTACTCGTGCTGCGATGTAGAGGTTTTCAAAAAAGTTAAATCTCCAAAACTGTAAAACATTCATTGAACTGTCACAACTATGATATGAAACATAACTCGGGCCACACTCTTGTCTCCTGCCGTCCCTCTACCAATGTCCTCCCAAAGTCGCTTAGTCGAACATTGTAATAGTAAAATCTCGTACAAACTGGCAGTCGAAAGCATTATTATACATCAATATTAGCTTACTACGCGATTTATTCTACAAAATTTCCTACTGTTTATGGCTCAATTGATCACTAATTTAATTAATATTTTTTATCAGACGCTTACTATCTAGCTTTTCCCACATTTCCTTCGACATGATGTTAGAGTGGATGGGTGACGTAATGGTTGATGTTTTCATGACATGCATGATGAAGGAATAATGGAATGAGAGGCAGGGTATATGGTAGAACCTCTCGCAAAACCACTTTGCGCACCACAAATTTTACATAGATCGACGGAGATTCTACCCCCGATATCTTCAGATGTTCAACAGACCATTTGTTCAATCTGACCGTCAGAATCCTGTCCGAAGGGCCGCGAAGTGCCTGTGGATTCCCGCACGCGTCGCGTGGAGGCAATGAGGGGGCGAGGGCCATTGCTCGGCCGCGAGCGGCGAAAGCGCCACCGCCGCCGTCGCTACTGCCGCCGCCGCCGCCGTCGCGAAAGCGTCGCGACGCGGCGGTGGGCGGCGTTTCAATTCCGCGGGCGGCGGGCGCAGGCGTCGAAAATCGCGGTCCGGGCGATCGCCCACTCCTTTGGGCACTGGGCGCCACGATTACGCGAGAAAGCGCGCCGCGGTACCCTCTCCTCTCTTGCGGCTGTGCCGCCCCGGGCGACGGAAACAACCTTCTTCAAAGGCGAATGACACATCGGCGACAAAAGAGCGGAGAGCTTGTTTATTAACATATAAAATGGAAGGTTGAATACAAAAGAAATAATTTATATAATTTTATGTTAAATCATACTTAAATATATTATATATTATTATTTAATATACACATTTGTAATATATATTTATAATAAATATTTATAATTTAATAATAAACAAACAGTTGCAATTACTAATTTGCCTTAAGGAAAATCTTAGTTTTGGTTTCTTGGACTAAAGTAAATCAACTCTCATGCTATTATACATCTCATGCCATATTATACTCCCATGCCATAATACATCTCAGTATTTGAAACACTTATGGGAAGTAATTGTATTGTTTTCTATGTGCACTTCAAAATGTCTTCAAATTTATTTAGGGTCGCAAAATTAATATTATTCAAATTTCATAATTTCGCAAAAATATTAAATGAGGCAACATATGGAACTCTCACTTATACAGATGTAATTGTTACTTGAGAAGAATAAATGTTAGCCCCCGAACTGTCATGTACAATTTGTAAGAATCTCATTAACATCAGTATTATGGTCATTAGCAAACAAATAAAATATCAACGATGAATACCAAAATATCAACGAAAGGCTAATATATCCTTAAAAAAATCATACTTTTTCAGTGATCACACGGAGTAAAACAATATACATGAGGCCTAGAAATACTTCCTTACGAGACTAATCGAATGCTGGTTGTGGGAAGGTGGGGCTTCTCTCTGAAAAGACCGCACCCTTAATCAACCGATGACTCGAAGGTAGAGGCGGCTGAGAATTTCTCATCCGAGCGCGCGCACGCAGAGGCAGTCACGCGCACGCACGCACGCACGCACTCTTAAGCCTTTCGCTTTCAATCTGCGGGCTCTCGCGCACTTCTCTTCTCAGGCCGCGCAATGGGCCTCGTTGCGCCACGCGGCACTGCTCCCACTATTACCCACGAGCGGCCTCGTAACCGCCAGCGCCAGCGCCACGAACGACAGTTGACGAGTGTGAACGGCTTTTTTTGTAGGTAGAGTAGTTACTAAAGTAGTTGCTATACAATGGTCATCACATTTTGTGCTCCTCCTTTGGAAATACTTTCTATATATTTAGATCCAAATGTAAAATTTTGGTTATCCGTAATAGTTTGTAACACATCTCGTGGTTTTTATTAAAACTTACGCAATTTCTCTTCATTTTCACCATTTTCCACATTCTTTACCATACCCTATTAACATATATTTAAATATATTAGACATTTTTATTATCTATAATTTATTTCTTTGTGTTTCAAGTTACTTTATCTCTGTCTCCTGTTAGTCTCTGTCCCTTTCTTTTTATTTTCTTTGTCTCTCTCTCTCTCTCTCTCTCTCTCTCTTTCTCTTCCTTTGTCTCTCTCTCTCTCTCTTTCGATCTCCAACTTTCCCGAAACATGCGTCCTATAACGATTACATCCCTATAGCTCGTAACACATCTCGCCGTTTTTATTAAAACTTACGCAAATTCCCTTCATTTCCACCCCTTTCCATATTCTTTACCATACCCAACATTAGTTTTTTTGACATTTCTCCTCTACACTTTTCTTCTCAAACAACGTTTCTTAATAAATTATTTCCGTACATTCACATCTTTTTCTCTTTCATTCCACCTCACAGCCTCCACCTTTCTCAGTGTCACCATCGCCTCTGTCCTACTACTATTACTACTACTTCGACTGCCGCGGCGGTCGTAACCAGAGCGCGGATTACACAATGGGCAACCTTTGGGCGCGGGCGCAGGCAGCGCCGCAGTTGGGTTTGTCTTCGCGGGCGAGTCACGCGCCGCCGCCCCGGCCCGCCCGCCACGGCGCCTCCGCTTGCGCCACGCGCCCGCCGACGCGCAATTAAAAGTGGAGTAAGTGAGTGGTTGGGCGCGGACGTGGGCGCGCCCGTAAGAATCCTTGATGCGCCACGCGCCGAGGAGGAACGCCAAACCCTGAAGCAGCGCAAAGAGCTGCTTTTACGACCATTCATTTCTTTGTGTCCATCAGCATTTGCATGCCTCACTTCATGTGCTCTTATAATTGACATTAGAAGCTGTTCCTGTCACTCCAATACTTCGTAAACACGTCTGCATTACCTAATCATTAATCCACGTTTGTTATTGTTTACTTATCAGGTTTCACTTTCACCTGTTTCCTTATATCTTTTATATTACTTTCGTGTTCGTTCATACAATAAGCAAGTAATTATTTGTTTGCATATTTATTTATTATCATGCTAGTTTTCTCAAACTGATTCTTGTAGACTGCCATATCCCTCCAGCAATTATTCTCCTCCATATCGCGTACTTCCACTAATTTATTAACCAACACGTTAACATTATAATCCATTACACTTAGCCGCCATACCGCCTTTTCGCAAGACATTCTCTCTTTCTGCATTGGTTTTTATTAGTTATCAGTGGTGTAAATTGAAAATATATAAAAATATACATTTCAAAGGTAGCCTTTCAAATGTATTATCTCAAGTGGGTTATTCGTGAACAGTTACAATTGGTAAGGCTTTTTTTTCAAACTTGCATAAGAGCTCATTTAAGCAGAGAGGCAAGACATTCTCTATGTTCATGACTACTCCACTTTGAGCTGCGTGCTTGTGTGGCGAGCGGAGGCCGACGACGGCGTTTCCAGCGCGCACGCGCCGCGGTTCAGCGCGAGCGCCGGGCGAAGGGGCGAAGGGGCGAAGTGCCTGGGGAGGCGCGACGC